GGCGCAGGCACAGGAGGAGTGCCATCAGAGTACGAACACCGCATCGGCGGACGGGGCGCAGGCACAGGAGGAGCGCCATCAGAGTACGGGCACCACATCGGCGGACGGGGCGCAGGCATGTAACTGGACGGAAAAACTGATACAAGACAATTATCAAGTTCAACCGCAAAAATACAAACGGATGACGAGACCTCCGATCACCGAGAAAAGAAGACTTTAGGTGCACATATTTTTAAAACGGGGAAACAAAACTTCTTGGAGTGCTAACCGCCCCCCTACACCCCTGAACCCCTAACTGCCCCCCCCTACACCCCTAAACCCCTAACAGCCCCCCTACACCCCTAACTGCCCCCTACACCCCTGAACCCCTAACCCCGCCCCCCCCTACACCCCTGAACCCCTAACCGCTCCCTACACCTCTGAACCCTAAAGGCCGGTTCACACCATAATGGGGTAGCTCACATGCTTTTGCATGTTCCCGCACAACAATAGACCCCTCCCAACAACAATCAACCCCCTCAGAAACAATAGATCCCCAATAGCAATAATAGACCCCCTGCAAAAATAAACCTCCCAACAGCCAGCATCAATAGCAGCATTAGATCCCTCCCTCAACATTAGATCCCTCCCAGCAACAACTGACCACTCAGCACCAATAGATCCCCTGCCAGCAACAATAGACCCCCCTGCAACAATATATCCCCCACAACAATAGAGCCTCGAAAAGCAACACTAAGCCCCCACCAGCAACAATAGATCTCACAACAGCCAGATAGCAGCATTAGACCCTTCCCTTAACAGTAGATCCCTACCGGCAACTACTGACCACTCAGCACCAATAGATCCCCCCTGCAACAATAGACTCTCCAGCAGACCCTAGCACAGGGTGGCTATGTTCCTACATACAGGGGGACCAAGGCAGGGGGGCTACATTCCTATATACAGAGGGACCAAGGCAGGGGGGCTACATTCCTACATACAGGGGGACCAAGGCAGGGGGGCTACGTTCCTACATACAGGGGGACCAAGGCAGGGGGGCTACGTTCCTACATACAGTGGTACCAAGGCAGGGGGGCTATGTTCCTACATACAGTGTGACCAAAGCGGGGGGCTACATTCCTACATACAGTGTGACCAAGGCAGGAGGGCTACATTCCTACACACAGTGGGACCAAGGCAGGGGGGCTACATTCCTACATACAGGGGGACCAAGGCCGGGGGGCTACGTTCCTACATACAGTGTGAGCAAGGCAGGGGGGCTACATTCCTACACACAGTGAAACCAAGGCGGGGGGGGGCTACATTCCTACATACAGTGGGACCAAGGCGGGGGGGCTACATTCCTATATACAGGGGGACCAAGGTGGGGGAGATACATTCCTACATACAGGGGGACCAAGGCGGGGGGGGGGCTACATTCCTATATACAGTGGGACCAAGGCGGGGGAGATACATTCCTATGTACAGTGGGACCAAGGCGGGGGGCTACATTCCTACATACAGTGAGACCAAGGTGGGGGGCTACATTCCTACATACAGGGGGACCAAGGCGGGGGGGCTACATTCCTACATACAGGGGGACCAGGGCGGGGGAGATACATTCCTACATACAGGGGGACCAGGGCGGGGGGGGCTACATTCCTACATACAGTGGGACCAGGGCGGGGGGGCTACATTCCTACATACAGGGGGACCAGGGGGGGGGGGCTACATTCCTACATACAGGGGGACCAAGGCGGGGGAGATACATTCCTACATACAGGGGGACCAAGGCGGGGGGGCTACATTCCTACATACAGGGGGAGCAAGGCAGGGGGGCTACATTCCTACATACAGGGGGACCAGGGCGGGGGGGCTACATTCCTACATACAGGGGGACCAGGGCAGGGGAGATACATTCCTACATACAGGGGGACCAGGGCGGGGGGGCTACATTCCTACATACAGTGGGACCAAGGCGGGGGGGGGGGCTACATTCCTACACACAGGGGGACCAAGGCGGGGGGGCTACATTCCTACACACAGGGGGACCAAGGCGGGGGGGCTACATTCCTACACACAGGGGGACCAAGGCGGGGGGGGGCTACATTCCTACATACAGGGGGACCAAGGCGGGGGGCTACATTCCTACATACAGGGGGACCAAGGCGGGGGGGCTACATTCCTACACACAGGGGGACCAGGGCGGGGGAGATACATTCCTACATACAGGGGGGACCAAGGCAGGGGGGGCTACATTCCTACATACAGGGGGACCAAGGCGGGGGGGCTACATTCCTACATACAGGGGGACCAAGGCGGGGGGGGCTACATTCCTACATACAGGGGGACCAGGGTGGGGAGAACATTGCCTATTACATACTTGAACAGATATTTTTTAAACATTTTGATTCACTTTAAGATACAATCCTAATTGATGATTGTGAACGATCGGTTTCTGCTTCTGCCGTGTAATCTTGTAATCTGAACGATCGGTCTCTGCTTCTGCCGTGTAATCTTGTAATCTGAACGATCGGTCTCTGCTTCTGTCGTGTAATCTCGTAATCTGAACGATCGGTTTCTGCTTCTGCCGTGTAATCTCGTAATCTGAACGATCAGTTTCTGCTTCTGCCATGTAATCTCGTAATCTGAACGATCGGTCTCTGCTTCTGCCATGTAATCTCGTAATCTGAACAATCGGTTTCTGCTTCTGCCATGTAATCTCGTAATCTGAACGATCGGTTTCTGCTTCTGCCGTGTAATCTCGTAATCTGAACGATCGGTTTCTGCTTCTGCCGTGTAATCTCGTAATCTGAACGATCGGTCTCTGCTTCTGCCATGTAATCTCGTAATCTGAACGATCGGTTTTTTCTGCTTCTGTCGTGTAATCTCGTAATCTGAACGATCGGTTTCTGCTTCTGCCGTGTAATCTCGTAATCTGAACGATCGAAATAGGATTGCATTCATGAACAAAATATCTCAGTGCTGCCGATTGATGCAACATGATTGATAAAAGCCCCGCCCTGATCGATCGGAATGGAGTCTAAATCGATTGGAGGGGAAGCTATGGCTGTTTGACTTCTTGATTGCACCGCACGTCGATTGGATACAAAGGATTGCAGTGTGTGTGGCCTCCATACGCGATCCGGTTCTCTGCTATGAATGAAGCACTCGGCTACAATCACGGTGGAATCAGAGAGATCCGTCGTTATGAATTTGCCGCGATGTATAATTACCTCTCTATAATATGTCTTTAGTTCGGCGCACAACCGTCATCCTAAATACGATTTCCTGCGACATCGATCTCCGGAACCGCGACGCCGATGATCTATATCCTGTATAATCGCACTCTCGATTACAATGTAAAGCGCTTATGTATCAATGTATCAATTAATGTTTATGGTGTTAACAAGGGAAGCCGGGATCAGCGCTGTGCGGATTGGCTGTCGATATTTTCATGTGTAAATCTCGTATCTGTCAGATCGTCGTCTGTTCATCACTTTGATGATGTATTCAGTAATATTGTAGAATCCCTCATGTACTAATACAAAGAAAAGTGAGCTGAGTGCTGAGTTCCCGGGTCTGTACCCCCGCTGTGCCCGTTATGAGGGGTTCCCACCATCCCTGTGCTGGGTTCCCGGGTCTGTACACCCGCCGTGCCCGTTATGAGGGGTTCCCACCATCCCTGTGCTGAGTTCCCGGGTCTGTACACCCGCTGTGCCCGTTATGAGGGGTTCCCACCATCCCTGTGCCGAGTTCCTGGGTCTGTACGCCCGCTGTGCCCATTATGAGGGGTTCCCACCATCCCTGTGCCAAGTTCCCGGGTCTGTACCCCCGCTGTGCCCGTTATGAGGGGTTCCCACCATCCCTGTGCCGAGTTCCCGGGTCTGTACACCCGTTGTGCCCATTATGAGGGGTTCCCACCATCCCCGTGCTGAGTTCCCAGGTCTGTACGCCCGCAGTACCCATTATGAGGGGTTCTCACCATCCCTGTGCTGAGTTCCCGGGTCTGTACACCCGCCGTGCCCATTATAAGGAGTTCCCACCATCCCTGTGCCGAGTTCCCGGGTCTGTACGCCCGCCGTGCCCATTATGAGGGGTTCCCACCATCCCTGTGCCGAGTTCCCGGGTCTGTACGCCCGCTGTGCCCATTATGAGGGGTTCCCACCATCCCTGTGCCGAATTCCCGGGTCTGTACACACGCTGTGCCCATTATGAGGGGTTCCCACCATCCCTGTGCCGAGTTCCCGGGTCTGTACGCCCGCCGTGCCCATTATGAGGGGTTCCCACCATCCCTGTGCCGAGTTCCCGGGTCTGTACGCCCGCCGTGCCCATTATGAGGGGTTCCCACCATCCCTGTGCCGAGTTCCCGGGTCTGTACACCCGCCGTGCCCATTATGAGGGGTTCCCACCATCCCTGTGCCGAGTTCCCGGGTCTGTACGCCCGCCGTGCCCATTATGAGGGGTTCCCACCATCCCTGTGCCGAGTTCCCGGGTCTGTACACCCGCTGTGCCCATTGGCAGAGGTTCACTGATGGAGCATCCATGACATACGACGTCGGGGCGGACTCTGGTCACCGCGCTCCACCTATAATGGAAACCTCACTTTTAGATGGACTGGCCCTTCCATTTATTTAGAGAAACCAGTTTGTGGTCACAATCCGCCTCCAGCGCCGAGCTCTCCAGCGCCAAGACCGTTCAATCGCTCCCAGCATCCTTTTCTATGACGCCGCTGAACAGTGAATGCTCTCCGCCCTGAACTGTGCGCTTTACTTGAAATCGACGCCCCCTGCGTCCAATGCGGAAAGGAATCGGCGTCTCATCTCGGAGCGGCACGAAGAATGACGCCAGTATGGGGTGATTCGCACCAGGGGCGGACTGACAACTCATGGGGCCCCTGGCAATACGGGATCATGGGGCCCCTGTGTCCTTGCCTACACTCAAACCACACCCAAAAAAGCCTATGAAAGGTACCAGGGGCATCTCATGGGGCCCCCTACTGACCCCGGGCCCTCGGGCAGTGCCCGAATGGTCAGTCCGCCCCTGATTCAGACACGACGCCGGTCCTGACAACGCTTTCCTCCTTCTTCTTCCTCCAGCAGAACGGAGAGGCCATTTTTCGTCGCCGCCATTAGATGGCACTGTTGCCTATGGCAGCGGCGGCGTCGGCCTTACGTCAGGCGGGAGAAGTTTGCATTGTTTTCTGCTCAGGCCTTGACTCCCACCTTCCATCAGGAGAAGAGAGCCGGCGCAGCGCTTCCAGCGAGAGAACCAAATAAGATCATGACCGGCGCTTTGTAGCGGAGTCTGGTATAGGCGCGGAGACCTAATGGAGAATGGCAGATGGGTGACATCACCAGACGCGCTCGCCGTATAGTCGGCAGACGGCTGCTTCATAGTCGCTGGCAATTAGCCACCTTGGAATAAAGCCGCCGGGGGCGGAGGACAGCGAACCGGCAACTGCTGAGGAATTTTTGTAAAATCCCTAAAGGGAACCGGTCATCGCTGAGCTTACGGCGGCGCCAATGTTGGGTCTCTAACCGAAACCGCGAGATCCGCGCAAAAAGAAAAAGTAGTGACCGCCCTTCTCCAGTAGCCCGTGTCTCCCACCTCCCCAGCACTGTAGCCTCCAGCATTCGACACTTCCGGCAGTGTCAGATACCGGCGCCCCCTGCTGCACAACATGGTTTCTTTCTTGGACTGACCATTCGTGCACTCGGGCACAGCCCGAGGGCCCAGGGTCAGTAGGGGGCCCCATGAGATGCCCCTAGTACCTTTCATGGGCTTTTTTGGGTGTGGTTTGAGTTTGGGCAAGGACACAGGGGCCCCATGATCCCCTATTGCCCGGGGGCCCCATGAGATGCCCCTAATACCTTTCATAGGCTTTTTTGGGTGTGGTTTGAGTTTGGGCAAGGACACAGGGGCCCCATGATCCCCTATTGCCCGGGGGCCCCATGAGTTGTCAGTCCGCCCCTTCCTACTGCTGAGTGTCGGGAATCAGCAGCAGAGATGGCCAAATCTCAGGAAGACTGGAACCACGCCATACATACTTAACCCCTTCAAGACGGCGCCTCCCGGCCTTTTAAGGGTTCCAGAAGCCAGGAGGTGGGGCGGGGTTTAAGGTCATGTGACCGCCGTGATGCGCCGTCACGGCAGTCACATGATCGGGAAAGGTCCCCATCGAAAGAGGAGATCAGGACCTTTCTGTGAGTACCAGACAGGGAGCACGCTCTCGGACTGACAACTCAGGGGGTCACCAGGCAATAGGGGATCATGGGGCCCCTGTGTCCTCGCCCAAACTCAAACCACACCCAAAAAAGCCTATGAAAGGTAACAGGGACATCTCATGGGGCCCCCTACTGACCCCAGGCCCTCAGGCAGTGCCCGAGTTCCCCAATGGTCAGTCCGCCCCTGCTCGGCACATGTGTCCTTTTTTAATAGAATGCAAATGGCGGGTTTCACCGGCCGTCTTCTCTCCCTGGGGCCAGTATCTTCAATGTGGGCCCCCGGCTGTGACAGCTTGCAGTGCCCACTGCGCATGCGCGAAAAGCACTGAGCTTTGTGAATGGCCCCGTAGTCTTCTGGGACCTGTCGCGTGTCCCAGAAAACTACGGGGAGGACAACTTCTTCTTCCGATCTCTTAAGCGATCGCAACGGAAGTGGGAGTGGGTACCTGTCGAATTCGGGTACCTGCTCCCCCGCCCCCCCGCTCCCCAACAAATGTCCCCAAAGGAGCGTGGGACGAAGGCTGAAAGCGGAACTTCCCCTTTTGGGTGGATCTCCACTTTAATCACTTGACTTCCAGAAGGTCGCGTGTTGCTGTTCAGCACCGCGCTACTTTAACTGGCAATTGGTCAGTCATGCAACGCTGTACCCAAATAATATTTCTTTCTTTTTTTTTCACACAAATAGAGCTTTCTTTTGGTGGTAATTTATCACCACTGCTGGGATTTTTTCATTTTTTGAGCTTTACAGGAAAAAAAGACCGTAAATTTTGGGAAAAAAACTCAATATTTTTGCTATGAATCATATCCAATAAAAAAAATGTAAAAAAGATCTAATTTATTAAAAAATTTAGGCCGAAATGTATTCTGCTTCATGTCTTTGGTGAAAAAAAAAAAAATCCCAACGAGTGAACATTGATTGGTTTGCGCAAAAGTTTGTGTGAAAGTTATAGCGTCTACAAATGGCGATATACATACTGGATTGTCGCCTGGCCTGCAGCTGCCATCCGCCCACAGGAAATGTACAGCGGGGCGGCAACAAGTGGTTAAAGTCAAATTTATTTCCAGTATATATACTAGTAGTGCTGGCGATCAGTGACTTATAGTAGGACTGTGATAGTGCGGCGGGCAATATGACTCTAACTGACATCCCCAGTGACACTAATGCAGTGATCAGTGCTAGTAATATGTACTGTCACTGTAATGACAGCACTGGGTAGGAAGGGGTTAACAGCATGCAAGCGTGCCCAAAAGCCTGGAAACAGGCGGCAACGTACGGGTTTGTCGCCTAGCGCAGCAGCTGCCACCCGCCCACAGGAAATGTACAGCCGGGGGGCAACAATTGGTTAAAGTAAAAATTCATTTCCAGAAAAATCCATCCAAACACAACCAGGAAACAAAGATAAAAGTGAACAAAATACCTAACTAAACAATCTGAATAAAAGAAAGCCCAAAGCAATACATCGGAAAAAAAAACAAATGTGGAACACAGAGAAGCGGGGAAAAATGGAGGTGCAGGGGGCAGATGGGAAGGGAAAACCAAAACTGGAATCAGGAACAAAGGCAAAATACTGGAGCAAGGTGTAATAGTGGAGGAGGGACTAAATACCCTCCCAGCAGCCAACATCAGGTGCAACGGATTACAGGCGGACCTCGGTTTACGAACGCCTCGGTTAATGTAATTTTCGGTTTACGAATGAAAACCCATTGAAAATAACGCTTCGGTTTACAAATTTTTTTTCGCAATATGAACGGATTAATTGGTTTTCAATGCATTTACAAATTTTTTTGATCATGACCCTGTACAGTATTTATGCCTTTAAAGTGCACTTTATAAAGAGTTTTGAACAGATGAAATACTTTTTTCTGACCTCCGGTACGGATTAATTGGCTTTCAATGCATTCCTATGGGAAAACGCTTTTCGGTTTACAAATTGTTCGCAATACGAAAAGTCACGCAGAACGCATTCAATTCGTAAACCGAGATACGTCTGTAATCAGTTCCACCTGATGTTGGCTGCTGGGAGGGTATTTAGTCCCTCCTCCACTCTGGGAAGCGCAGTGCCACCAGCAGGTGATTCAGGTCCTGACACACAGGGGACAGGCAAAGGAACTCTGGAATGGGGCGGCCTGGCGGGGGGTCACAGGGATCCCACCACCAAGGTCTCAGAACCCTGACACATAAATGGAGAGGCAGGGGTTCCTTATCCTCATTGCATCAGTTGCCTCTGACCTAATAATTGCCTGCACCCACCACCAAGGTCTCAGAACCCTGACACATAAATGGAAAGGCACAGGTTCCTGACTTTGGCACCCCATAAATGAAGAGGCACAGGCTGCGTCAGGTGCCTCTGTCCTAGAAATAGGCTCCTCCCACCCCCACCTTATCCCTGCACCTCCAAAGTCTCAGGTCCTTCATTGACCCTGCAGCTAGAGTACTGCCATAGCCTCCAATATAAACTGTCTAACCCAGCAATGGGCAAACTACGGCCCGGCGGACCTTTTAATCCGGCCCGCGGAGCTAGGCTCCCGCTAGGCTCCTCTCACAGTCCGCCCTGAAGACCGGTGTAGCATGAAAATCTGTCTCCTATGAGGATCTGTCCCCCTCGACGTATCTGCGCATGTGCCGGAGATCGCCGATCGGCTGCTAATGCCTGAAACTGGCACATGCGCAGATACGTCGAGGGGGACAGATCCTCATAGGAGACAGATTTTCATGCTACACCGGAACGGCGCGGGAACACGGCGAGAGGAACGCGCGGAGCAAAGGTAAGTGAATTGACACGGGGGACGAATTACTATATGGGGGATGAATTACTATATGGGGGATGAATTACTATGGGGGATGAATTACTATATGGGGGGTGAATTACTATGGAGGATGAATTACTATATGGGGGATGAATTACTATGGGGGATGATTTACTATATGGGGGGTGAATTACTATATGGGGGATGAATTACTATATGGGGGATGAATTACTATGGGGGATGAATTACTATATGGGGGATGAATTACTATGGGGGATGATTTACTATATGGGGGATGAATTACTATATGGGGGATGAATTACTATATGGGGGATGAATTACTATATGGGGGATTAATTACTATATGGGGGATGAATTACTATGGGGGGATGAATTACTATGGGGGATGAATTACTATATGGGGGATGAATTACTATATGGGGGATGAATTACTATGGGGGATGAATTACTATATGGGGGATGAATTACTATATGGGGGATGAATTACTATGGGGGGATGAATTACTATATGGGGGATGAATTACTATATGGGGGGATGAATTACTATGGGGGATGAATTACTATATGTGGGATGAATTACTATGGGGGATGAATTACTATATGGGGGATGAATTACTATATGGGGGATTAATTACTATATGGGGGATGAATTACTATGGGGGGATGAATTACTATATGGGGGATGAATTACTATATGGGGGATGAATTACTATATGGGGGATGAATTACTATGGGGGATGAATTACTATATGGGGGATGAATTACTATGGGGGATGAATTACTATATGGGGGATGAATTACTATGGGGGATGAATTACTATGGGGGATGAATTACTATATGGGGGATTAATTACTATATGGGAGATGAATTACTATGCTTACTATGGGGGAATATTACTATACTTACTATGGATGACACATACACATCATTCATCTACTCTTGGTCCGGCCCCCGGGTCCAATATATGAACCCATTGCGGCCCTCAAGTCAAAAAGTTTGCCCACCCCTGGTCTAACCCATCGCCAGACACATAAGTGGAGAGGCTCGGGTTCCTGACCCATCTTAGACTTGGCACCCCATTGTGTCAGTCACCTCTGACCTAGGAATTGGCTGCACCCATCCTCGCAACACCACCAATGGCTGGGGT